AAAAAAATAAGCTAAGATTAAAAGCCAAACGACATGTTTCTTATAGTTTTTCTGGCCATGCTTCTCCTCACAACACCTATTGGTACATATACCAACATCTAGAATCTAGGTCCGACTAGCTTATTTTGACCGTACTATTATTTTATTAGTGAAACTTCTCATAGAAGCTTTTTTTTTTCACTCTACCGAATAGGGTCAAAGACCCATGGGTCATAGAGTGGTGCCCGTGTCATTAATTAAAAAGGGAAAAGCTGCCAATATGTTCCAGCAGGAGGCTTTCCCGCAGCAAGCAAGCTTCAGGCTACTGATCATGTAACACCATAAAAATTTCCATTGTTTTTAAATAGGGGAATATGATTTAATTATGTGAGCATTTAAATTTAGAAAAGTAATAACTTTTGTTAAATTAAAATCAATTATAGGGTTTACCTACATGTTTATGCATTCATGCTGCTGCATATTATTTTTGTATTGTGCGGTTTGAAATCAAACTTCAAATTGATTTGAATTTGGATTTGAAAATTTCTTTCGAAATTTAGAAAAAAAAATTAAAAAAAATTCTTAACCTCCCTTACTTTCCCTCTCTTTGGGCCTGCTCGGCCTTGCCTTTCCCGCAGGCCCAGCTCTCCCGAGCTCCCGCTCTTGAGCCGGCCTAGCAAGCTAGCCCACAGACAGCGCGCCACTGCATTCCAGCTTGGCCTCGCACTCCACCGCGGGCCCGCCGACTAAGCCGCTGCCATCCCGAGCCCACGTGTCGGTTGTCTCCTACATGGAGTCGGCTTCGAGCCGGACTCTGCTCCGCCGAAGGGGAGTCCACCTCCGCCCCGCTCCGCCCGACTTGCGTGCACTGCAAGCCGCTCCGCCCCTTAAATAGCAGCCCCGTGCCCGTGCCGCTCTCCTATCTCATCCAACACTAGCCCCGCCCACGCTAGAGCTACAGCCGTCGCGGAACCCTAGCAGTTCGAGCCACTGAAGTCGCCTCGCCGTTCCGCCGCTCCGCCGTCGTCCGGGACTGCTCGCCGAGCTTCTACGCGAGGTAAGCAAGCCCCGATACCCGTTTTTCCTTCTCCTGCGCTTTCTGTTGCTTGTGCCGCATCGCAGAAGTACCGCCGACGAACCTGAGCCGCCTCAACCGAGCCGAGCTAGTCCCCGCGTTGTCGTAGCCCCTTCCGATCCCCTAGATGGAATCGCCTCATTCTCCTCTTGCTCCCTGACCTTCTCCCGAGCCAAACAGTGGCCGAAGTCACCGATTCGCCCAACTCCAGCGAGGTCCCGTCGAAGGCGCCGCCGCTTGGACTCACCGCCGGCCGGCCACCTCTCTTTCCCCTCACTAGATCTAATCTGGCACGTCCAAGTTAGATCCGACGGCCCAGATGCCTCCATACCGATTTGGCTAGCAAATTTGCAAAGGAGACCCCTCCTATTCCCTAATCTAACCTGCAGTCCAAAGCGCGTTTACCAAATACGTCTTCTTTATTTAAAAGCATATTTTCTTTTGGTTTAGATTCAAAATACGTTTTCATCTATTTACAGTTCTGCTACTATCTTCTGTAGGCCATAACTTCAACATTTTAACTCGGATTTGACCCATTCAAGTTGCGTTAGATTCGCAACGACGTAAACTACGCATTAGTATTAATGTTTTCATATCAAGAGTTCTAGAATTTTGTGGTTTAAATCATAACTTGATTAATAACTATGCAACTAGACTTATAAAGAAAATATGATTTATTCTACTCTCATTTTCAACTTTAAATCTAAATTTTACTTAATACAATTTAGATAATTCTCTAGAGTATCTTATATATGTTTTATAATTAAAATAAATGGAGTTTGTAGTTTTCCTTATTCTCGAATAAAAGCAAATCTATCGGTAGATGTATCTTTTTCACCGTAGCTTCGATTAGAGTGCTTTTCGCGTCTATGTGTTAGTAGCAATGTGTAGAATATCTTTAAAATCTTTTTACTTGTTGTTTCATATGTTTGGTGTACTATTCTAATTTAGTTCTATTGTTTGCTTCGTATATGATTGCATGGATGTTTGTGTGGTGTTTTATGATATCGTCCAGTCGGTGAGCTATACATGGTGAATTCAGAAGCAATTCATTTAAGGTTTGGACTAGAAGAAGGATCAGAGTTTTAAGGCAAGTATAGCATGGGATCTTTCTTGTTGTCCTATACACCTTTAATCATTTAATTCATACTGCATGTGTCTACCTTGACTACCACTAAGGATTTCCTAATACTTTGTTACCCTGTACCTTGATACCTATGGGGTATTGCATTGGATAGTATGATGCTAGTGCTCAACTACAACCATGATCTTGTAACTTGACTAATGGATTATGTAATAAACACTAAAAGATGTTTTTAGCAACATGGAACAAGGGGCTAGAGCATTAGGCTGCTTTTATGGTGCTCTAGATTCCTCTCCCTATGGACTTATCTATAAGTGATCATCCAGGACATACAGTACAGCTGTGAGGGCTACATGGCTCTGGCTTTAGCTCAGTATGGTGTTTCTAGCCTTTGCATTCCATTTTTTATAGTTGAACTCATCGCCTTGTGGGTGTGCGGCATCCCGAGGTTTTGGGAAACCTTGCGAGGTGGCTCTAAGAATTCCAACATCTAGAGCTTCTAGATACGCCTCCATGCGAATTTTCCAATATGGAAAATCGTCCCCTCAAAGATAGGAGGAGGTCCATCCCCGTGAGACATCTTTCACTAGGCGGTTAAGCGTAAATATGTGAGCACAAAGCTCTGATACCAATTGAAAGGATCAAGATGCCCAAGAGGGGAGTGAATTGGGCTAATTATAAATTTCTTTGCAATAATGAAATCCTATGGTTAGCCTAATTAACCCCTTGTGCCTAGAAAGTGTTCCTAGTTGTTCTACCGCACAAAAGACTTGTAACCTAAGTTCCAATCCTACTCTAGCATGGCAATTTTATGAATGTAAGAACAAGAATTGAATTGCTCAAAGTAAATGCTCAAAGTAAATATAGAGGGAGGAACGCTGCGATGTTTTGCCGAGGTATCAGAGAGTCGCCACTCCCGACTAGTCCTCGTTGGAGCACCCGCGTAAGGGTGTAGCTCCCCCTTGATCCGCGCAAGGATCAAGTGCTCTCTACGGGTTGATTCTTTGACACTCCATCACGGTGAATCACCCACAACCGCTCACAACTTGAGTTGGGTCATCCACAAGCTCTCCGGATGATCACCAAGCTCCCAATCACCACCAAGCCGTCTAGGTAATGGCGATCACCATGAGTAACAAGTACGAACTCTCACTTGACCACGACAAGCCTAATGAGAAGGGTGGATGCACACTTTGCTACTCTTGATCTCACTAATGAGGGCTCTCTTTGGAATTCTCAAATCTCAATCACCTCACTAGAACCTTACTCTTCTTGGCACTCTCAAACATGTTTCTCAGCTGTTGGAATGAGCAAAAGTACCCCCACACTCGAGTAGAGGGAGTATTTATAACATGGGCTGAAAAACGAACAGTTATGTGCCTTTGCGGGGTGACCGGACGCTCCGGTCATGTTGACCGGACGTTCCGGTTAGTACACCCCGAACTCCAGTGTTTACAGTGTGACTAGACTCTGGCCAGCGTCCGGTCAGCACTGACCGGACGCGTCCGGTCAAAATATTTCCTCTCTAGAACCTTACTGGAGTCGACTGGACGCTGCCTCTCAGTGTCCGGTCACTTGACCTCTTAGCATCCGATCAAACCAGATGCAATCACCTTGGTCAAATGAACTGACCGGACCCTGAGCCAGCGTTCGATCAGTATTTGACCCTCCATTCACTTCCAACTCTCGATCATATGTGAATGAAGTTTGCTCCATTGGATCTAAGGGCTATTTTGGAGCTACCTAATGCTAGTTTTAACAAGTGTGCACCACACCTAACTCACTAGACTCACATAGGTCAAGCAACTCGTCCATACACCCCTTAATAGTAAGGCCAAAGGAAAAACAAAGTTCTAAACTACTCTAAGTATCTCTCCAACTCCAAACGACACTTAGAACTAGTCCATCCTTAACCTTGTCGTCCATCCTTTGAAAACAGAAACGATTTCCATCGTAGGGGCATGACCACCTTAATTGCCCAATCGATTTTCATTACCGTGACCTAACTAAATTGCCTCTGCAAAACACGCGTTAATCACAGTAATCTTGTATTGTTATTAATCACCGAAACCCAACTAGGGGCCTAGATGCTTTCATTGAGTACGACATGTACTTACGCTTGCTTTATTTTTCAATTATTTGGATAAAAATCTCGGATGGGTACCAGATTACTAGTCTAGAGGAGTTCAGCTTGTGATCAACCAGTCAGTTGTCCCTGTGGATTGGAGTCTTCATCCAAAGATCGGAGTTGTCTTTCCGCTGTTTGCTGTTTAAGGTTATATCCTTTATACTAAGTACGTTATATATTGAGTATTGTCATTTGATATTACCCTTATTTGTAGCTATATGTGAGATTTGACTAACTGGACTCACATATGGTGCATATCTAGTTTTGTTCTTAAAACCGGGTGCTACAGATTAATGGATTTTTTATTCATTACGACCGAGCCTCATGTACAAGGTCGAGCTCTAGCCTTTTTTCTGCTGAGGTCCATAGCGTAGCGTGTAAGGCTCTGTTCGCTAGAACTTATTACTGCTACGGCTGATTTGTTGGCCTAATTTGTTGTGAGAGAAAAACACTGCTTCATGACTAAAAAGGTAGAACTGATTTTGACTTATAAGCTCAAGCAAACAGAACCTAAGATCGACCTTCAGGATTCCAACTAGGCCTTAAGACCTGTTCTTTTACACACTCTAAATGCCCTTACTCACGAGACCCACTAGAGAATATAGAGTATCTAACATGGCTGTGTTTCAGAAAATTAACAAAGAGCAAATGTTTAGTATAAGTAATTTTTATTAGTTAGTGTCTCCTAGCTAGGATTCTGGCGTGTGCGAGACCACTGGTTCATTGACTAGTTTTTAGATATATGGAACAACGAATCTACCTCCACTGGACCTTGAAATAGAGTTGACTTCACAGCCGATCTTAATTTGACAACCATTGCTCTCCATTTCTTCCCTTACCTGCCGATAGATAAATAGGTCATGTGATACATGATCCTTTATATTTTTTACCAAAAAAAATTGTGTGCAGTACCTTGTTCACGTAGGACTCCGAGCCACCTTTGACGGTAAGCCATTGTGAGCGACTAAAAACCTGAATGCATGCATAATTCCATTGGATTATTTAGCATGATAATACTAGTAAGACTGACAAGACCTTTTGATCCACCGTGAATTAGAATGGAGAAGAAATAAAAATCTGAAGAAGATGTATAGGCACCTTAAGAAGCTGATTGTCGCCGAAAAATGAAAGCACAAAGAGGGCAGGGAAGCCCAATACTCGTTGTGTTGGACTGGACCAAATGCATGAACACATTGGGATCTGTAGACAATATACAAATTTTCCAGCGTCTTGAAACGATACCAGAGCTGGAGAAGAGTATGAATACGTGAATTAGTAACATACAAGGTAGGCATCCTGGAAGAGCTGTGAATATCTATGTGACTGAATGAATTGGCCCAAAGTCTCGTTCTGCTCAGACCTTCTTTAATGGTCCTCCAGGTACCTTCAAATCAAAACAGAGGATAAAAATTATGAATTGTTCAGAGTGACTGCATACGACGTACGGCATAATGCACAAACACTCATCATTGGATCCATTGTGAACTCACTTGAGGGCATGATTCTTGAACTTGAATATCTCATGGATCACGAGCCAGAATCTTGGGCTAAGCAAATTGCTCTTCTGCACCAATATACCTAGACATACCATTGCGGCTACCCCACTCAAAGCCTCTACCTTTCTTTAACCGCATGCTTGCTGAGAACGACATGTCTGATGTGTCCATCTCCACCCCTAGCCTTTCCAACCATTCCATCATGTTTGGGCTTGTCACCTGCAATTAGATCTTGTGTTACAATAGACGAGTAGCAACGTTGCATACAAATTAAAGCTAGAAATGATACTTTTCATTCTATCACTACTTAAATAAAAGCTTTTAGGATACAACCCAAAAGCGATAATGATACAATTAGGCCGTCCATCCGTCTGGACGCCTCACTCCACCTGCGCCGCTCGCTCCCGCCCACGCCGTGTGCCCTGACCGCCACGGCCGTCTCCATCTGCCCACGCCCCCACCCCCGCCCGCTCGGATTTGCTGCCTCCACCGCGCCGCGTGGACTCGTTCCGCCTGCCGCGGCCGACACCACCATGCCAGGGTGCCTCCATCCACCTACCGCGGCTACATCCACCGCGTTAGTTCGCTTCGTTGCCCATGCCATGTTGCGCTGAAAACGCGTGTTGCAAACGTATGTTACATGTGTTTCAGATGTATAAGAGGTACGTTGGAAGTGTTTCATATGAAAGCTGCAAAGGTAGATCCAGATGTTGCACATGATGCAATGGCTATACACGTATGTTGCAAGTGTTTGTTCAAAATGTTTCATCCGTTTCAGACGTATGTTGCAAGTGTTTTATTTGGATGTTATGTTGCAATGGTTATGTTGCAATTGTATGTTTCATCTGTTTTAGACGTATGTTGCAATTGCTTTATCTGAGTGTTGCAAAAGTAGATCTGAATGTAGGTGTGGAGGAAGCCCAAGCTCTCGGTGGTCGTGCTGCTTCCCGAGCAGTGACATGGAGAAGGTCGGCTACTGCGCCTCCCTGGTGTGGTGAAAATGGAGGCTGTGGACATGGGAGTGGCATAGATGGGATGCTACGGCGGATCGGGCAGGATGTGGAGTGGTGTTGAAACTGGCGGTCTCAGACAGTGTGGAGGAGGTAGAGGCCTCCGCCTTTCAGACAGTGTGGAGGAGGTAGAGGTCTCCGCCTGCTACGCTGCTCCTCCCGGCGGAGGCACGGGAAACAGGCGCGATAAATGGGCGAGTAAGGAAATGGCACGCAAAACTAGGGTTTCATTAATTCTTCCACTAACCACCCGCACGGTTATAAGTGTTCCCTATTTATAGGGCTCAACTACTTTCTGATAGAATTTATTACAATGCCCCTCAACTGCTACAGTATATTCCTAAAATATTCCGACACTGGTCTCGTTTGCGGGGCAATCCTGCCACGCCGTCTCCAAGTAACGGGCCTCCATAAGCGGCCGACCCACCGTGCTTCGATCCTCGGCCCAAAGACTCGGGTTCCAGATGCTGACCTCCGTCTTTGGGGGCATGCCGTCGCCTTGGCGGGTCTCCGCCGGTCCGGTCGGAGACATCGTACGTATGTCTCCGCCCGGCCGCGCGGGGGCCGTGGTTCCCGACGCTGGCCTACGTCATCGGGGGCGCGCCGTCGCCTTGGCGGGTCTCCGCCGGTCCGGTCGGAGACGTCAACCGTGGGTCTCCGCCCGGCCGCGCGGGGGCCATGCTGGCGCACTCGCGCGGACCACGGGCGCCTGCGCTTGAGTACCTGCACACACTTAGGCAAGATTGTTTGTTTAATTAGTTCAGAGGTAAGGCGGCCTCCGCCCTCATGGTCGGAGGCGCCCGTGAGCCGAAGCGGGGCGGCGTCCGCCTGAGCATAGGTCGGAGGTCTCAGCGCACGGCCTGGGCGGAATTCGCGACAAGCCTGCCGAGCCTCGTGTAGTGCCCTACGAGCATAGCCAGGAAAGTTCCTTTAGTCAGCGCCAGGTCTCCGCCCCAAGACGGTCGAAGACGCCTTAGCGACACCATGCTGTCGGAGGCCTTCGTCACCCGCCGCAGCCGTGTTACAACAAGTGGGATGCGCGTGGATGTGACGGATCAGGCGAGATGGGCGTGGGCGGGGGAGCTACATCAGGCGCGGCCGCGGGAGCTCCGTCTGGACAGACGCGCGTCCGGAGCGGGATTGGCGTAGGCAAGGGAGCTGTGTCAGGCGCGGGCAAAGGAGCTGTGTCGTGCAGGAGCGCCGGAGCTGCGTCCGAATAGACGCCATGTCTGGACATCCGGGTGCTAGGGTGGCCGAAAAACTTAACAGAGGCAGGCTGACTTGGGCCCACCGTGCAGTTTTCCAGACAGACGTCATAGACCCAATGCCAAGCAGCACATCTGGAAATGCATTAGATGATATGTGGCTGGTTTAGATTGGCTTGCCTCTGAAAGGGGTCCTCTATAGATGGATTTGACGGGGCAACACTGATCACTGTTTGTCCAAATGGCTCATTAATAAATACCATTTGCCTCTATAAATGGCTGGGCCTACTGCTTTTATAAATGATGAGTACTTAATTATTTCTCATGGATCACGTGCCAGAATCTGTGGGGTCTCATCTTTGTACGTTCTTCTGTTTTCGAGAACGTGTGCTGCACGTATTTCACTAAGAAGATCTTTGTACGTCGTCAGCATACACTGTAGCTGGACAGAACGATTTTGTGTCTTCTAAAATAACGAAAGAGTTTTGATTCGAGTGCTGAACTTTTTTTTTTGAGCGATTGTTACACAGTCACGGATATGTGGACCATCCTCGTGTCATTTGTCATATATATTGTAACTAAAAAAACTAATTGCACAGTTTGCGACTAATTTGTGTGACGAATCTTTTAATCCTAATTAGTCCATGATTTGACAATGTGATGCTACAGTAACAGATGTGCTTATGATAGATTAATTAGTATTAATAAATTTGTCTCGCGTATTACGGATTCTGTAATTTGTTTTTTTTATTAGTAACCAAATACCCTCTGCGACACCTCCATGTGGTATCCGATGTGACACTCTAAAATTTTACCCTCTAAATTTAAACGAGGCCTAAACTATCCGTTCAGAACTAGAACTGGAATCAGCCAATATTTTAATTCTACGGTGTACCTAGTATCTACCAACTGTCACTACTCTGTTGCGGTGAAAATCTGGTAACAGTCACTCGAGCATCTGCGTCTCTGTATCAGGAGCAGACGATCATGGCGCGTTGACGACCGTGCAAAAAACAAAAAACGTGCAAATGGCGTGTAGATTTGAGGCTGCCGAGCAGTAAAATCGACAATGACTACCGTTGTTAATTTTAAGAGCTTTGTTTGGCTGGTTAGAGAGTACCACCATTAGTGGCCCTGATCGCCTGCAGTCATGGACACATGGTGGTACAGCTGCAGCTGAATCTAAACTGTTTAGCACTGCATGGCTACAGCCGGGTAGTACTGCGTTTGGCTGTTGCCTGATGACTGTGTTCTCACGAGGGAAACGTGGTGCTGTTGGCTAATGACTGCAGCCGATCAGGCTAACCAATATTTTTTGTTTTTTTTTCTTTTACTTACCATTAGTTTCAGAAGATGATTAATAAAATTAGATTTAAGAATTACCATTAGTATTGTATCTAAAAATTATTGTTGGAGACACTTAGGCCAACCGTCGTTCTGGCACACTCCTCCATGGCCGGCCAGCACGTACTGCAAGCCACCTGTCGGATATAATATGGTCTTGACCAATATAATATTTAATAATACAAATAAAAGTCTATGGTACGTAACATTAAGTATTATATGGCTTAATATCATACGGGATTTTGACTGAACGCTGACTCAGCTTAATTATTCATCTAAATTAAGAAGCTGAGAAAAGGATAAAGGCGTGCCACACGCGCGCGCCGCCGCCGCCGGCCAGCTGGGCTGGGCCGTGGGCGCGGGCAAGGCAGGCAGCGAGCGGGCGGGCGTGGCCAGTCTTTTGCCACTTAAATCCACGTTATCACGGGAGTTTTGCTCCTTAATTGTGGAGGTGAACTGACTGCGTCAGTTACCGTCCCTTCTGCTTCCCGTCTCCGTCCCTTCCGCTTCCCGTCTCCTGGGATTCTCCGCTACCTTCGTCTCCTTCCCCGGTCGTAGCCATATATCATGTCCTCCGTCAGTCCAGACCCTATCTTCCGCAACCGTTCCCGAGAGAATCGACATCTCCGCAGCCTTATGTCTTCCCCGTTCCGTTCCTCTACGCGCACGGAGTAGCGAGAGCAGGTGCCTCCGGAACCCTCGTCCACTAGAGAACCTTGCACGGAGTGCGCGGCGATTAGGTTTTTGGGGAGCGATCTGCGACTGCTCATCCAGATCCTGTCTTCTTCCCGATGATTGCCCACGGAACCGCAAGCTGTCTTGTTCCTGGTGATCCGTTCGTGGGACTGCACTGCAAACATCGTCCTGCACCGACTGTGGTCCGCGACTTTGAGTAACGCACTATGTCGACTAGTGCGAATGGAGCCTCCGATGCCCTCGGTATGGGACCCTCCGCTGGGTACAGTCTAATCTTTCTAATTACTGTAATCTATACTTTTACTGTATCTATCTGTATGTCATCTCTGCATGATGTAGCGTTCGTTACAAATATACACATGCACATATATGCCGTCACGAACCTGCTGATGTTATTTTTCTGGATTAAGCTGATAATGAAAATGTCTAAATTTCTAACAATCCAAAAACCTAATGTTAGGCAATTTTCTGTCAGTGGTTTTGCTGCTGTTTTGAAGCCAAATAATTTTGATGGCAAGAATTTCATGATATGGCGTGCTAAGATGGTATTGTGGTTGACTGCGATGAACTGCTATCACACCGCGCAGGGGAAGCCTGAACAGTTTACTCCCGAGAAGGAGAAAAGGTTCTTGTCTGTTGATAACCTGTTTCGAGGCGCCGTGATTAGTGCACTTCATCCCAAGTATGAGAAAAACTGCATATCTTGCACGTCAGGCAAAGAGTTATGAGATGCTCTTGAGGCAAAGTTTGGAGTTTCTGATGCTGGCAGTGAGCTATACCTCATGGAGCATCTGTATGACTACAAAATGGTTGAAAACCGTTCTGTTGTCGAATAGGCTC